TGGTACAGCAGGGTTGATGAGCATTTGAGCTGTCTTGGTTTTGTGAAAAGTGTCAATGAGCAAACCTTATACATTAAGCAAGTGGAGGAAGAATCAATCATTATCTCTCTGTATGTTGATGATCTTCTAATAACCGGCAGCAATGAACCTTTAATTGACAAAGTAAAAGCTGAAATGATGTTGGCATTTGAGATGACTGATCTGGGGGAAATGAAATACTTTCTTGGAATGGAAGTGAATCAATCACAAGAAGGTATTTTTATCTGTCAAAGGAGGTATGCCAAAGAAATTTTGAAGAAATTCAGTATGGAATATTGCAAGCTGGTAAAGACTCCCTTGGTTCAAAATCCGAAGCTGGTAAAAGATGATGAGAGTCCAAAAGCGGATGAGAAAGTGTATAGAAGTTTGGTTGGAAGCTTGCTGTATTTAACCATTACCAGACCAGACATCATGTATGCTACAAATTTGCTCTCACGGTTTAGGCAAGAACCAAGTGTTTTGCATTTTCAAGCTGCAAAAAGAGTGCTCAGATACATCAAAGGAACAACAGACATGGGAATCTGGTATAGGAAGACAGAAATGTTGGAGTTAATTGGTTATACAGATAGTGATTGGGCCGGATCATTGGATGATATGAAGAGCACCTCTGGATATACATTTTACTTGGGATCAAATATAATTTGCTGGAACTCCATGAAGCAAAAGACCGTGGCTCAATCAACAGCAGAATCAGAATATGTGGCTGCATCAGAAGCTACCAATCAGGCCGTTTGGTTGAGGAAAGTGCTGGATGATTTGTATGTTAATCAAGCTGATGCAACAGTTATTTTCTGTGACAACCAATCAGCTGTTGCAATGGTTAAAAATCCGGTGTTTCATGGAAGAACAAAGCACATCAAGATCAAGTATCATGCAATTAGGGAAGCACAAGAGAATGGAGAAGTGAGAATAATGCATTGCAAGTCTGATGAACAATATGCTGATATTTTTACCAAGTCTTTAACTAAAGAAAGGTTCGAAACACTTAGGAAAAATCTTTGTGTTTCCAGCCAAAGTGCCAAGGAGGAATGTTAATGTGATGTCACTTTTGCTGTCCACACTTTATTTGTATTGCTTATGTATTAGTTTAATTATAATGTCAATCATAATAGCTTCTTAGACTATCAAATGGTGGTAGTAGTTGGTAAAAAGTGGTTGGCCAAAGCATGGTGACAATATCCTTTTGTATCTTATATAATATATGATGTGTAATGAAAGATTTACTTTGGTCCTGCTTCTTTTTGCCTCTGTAATTTCAGTTTCTTCTTCCTCTTTGTATCAAGTAATGTACAACACATATATATAAATGTATTCACACACCCGCGTCTTCTATGTAATGAAGTAAGTCACCATTTATTCCACAATTGGAACTCCAATGACACAAATAACATTAAATCCTCCTAACGAATTCTCAGGCACCCCTGAAAGTAAACTACCCAAACTTCGCTTCATTTAAAAAAAAAAAAAAAATCATCTATTAATGAGGAATTTCACCCCTTCGGATTGAGGAAGTGAGTTTTTCTTTATTGATCATCTATTACTGAGGAATTTCACCCCTTCGGATTGAGGAAGTGAGTTTTTCTTTATTGATAGAGGAAGATAAACTTTAGCTAGAGATCTTGTTTGGGGATACAAAGCACATCTCATAGTTTTTCTCAGAGTGTCCCTTTTCCTATTCAGGAGAGTAGAAATGTTCTTTCTTTTTACTTACTAAAGGAAAAACTAGATATCAAGAAAAATAATTGAATCTAAAGATAAATAAAAATTGGTAAAATCCAACAAGAACTCTTGACTAAAAAAACCTACAATCATCAATTAATTCCAAAAGATGAACCAAAAAAAGCTTAATCTAAGAGCACATCAGATGAAAATCGAAACAACTTTTTAATTATTCATGAATCCATGGAAGATCGGAAGAGGAAAATAGCTCTGAATAATAATTTTCTATTCAAAAGTAACAGATAAAGATCCAAATCAGTCAAGGTACAATGCACTAAAGAGCTTTTCCTTTAATGAACAGTGTTGAACCAGTTGTGAATCAGCCAAATGTGAATACTAAGGCCCAAAAATGAAGAGTAAATTCCCGTCCTCTCTTTTATAGTAAGTGGGATTATTATATGATGATATTTCTTATGTAAATAAATACTTTATTTATAATGATATGTTTCAAAAATAACAGGGGGTATTAGTTTATTATTATTATTATTTTGTTGTTAAAAACATTCTTTAGATCATTCTATGAGTCTATGGAAAACAAGTATATGGGCAGCAACCCATTCCATTGTGCTCCGGATCAGTATCTTCTTATGCATCACCAACTCTGAGGAAGACCTGCATCAGCTCAAGTTCGCCTTTGATGATCTCGGCTTTCTCGTGAAGTCCTCCCAAGAGCTATTGCTTGTCTTGGATCCGTGTTGCAAGCTGGTTCGACGCAAAGGATACTGATCAATCAAAGCAAATGCATAGGAGTAACCAAACTATTCTCTCAAATTGACTTTTTGACTTTACAATAGAGCCCTAGGGATCCCTGAGCTCTTTACATACTCAACGTCCATGATCTTCGGATATTGTATGTGAAGCCTGATAATACAATAGACCGAAGCTGCTTGAAACAATTCACTTCGAGATTAATAATATATAAGACTGAGGAGAAAACAAAAGAGATTTGAGAGGACGCATCTCATTGAATCCGAGTTTTGACTCTGCCCATGCTCAGCATAAGACTAATATCACAAAATTATCAAAACAAGTTCCATGGTATTGCAGAATAAAAATCAACCAAGACTCGAAAGAAGGCAAAATTTAGTTGGACAAAGACAAATTCTCTATTTTCTTAGTTGCCCCCTTGACATATCTAATCAATATAACACTCTACACGTAAATTAGTACAACTCATTGTAGTTTCCATGTATTATAATCAAATTATATAGTACAGGAAATTACCCGGTGCATCTGAAGAAAGTGCAAGACTGCTTTAAATAGATATACAAATGCTAAAATTGTGTATTATAAACGGCTAATATAACTCAAAAGTCTAAGCTACTTATAACTAAGAGCTTTATTTCTCGTCACTTTCTGTGGTGTAATCTTTTCAAATTTCCATGAAAGAGATTCACTATAATTGACACTTCGTGGCAAAATAATTGCATCCATCATAGACTTCCAAACCCGACTGACCCAGTTCATCTTCTTTGAAGCAAGCACATCGTTTGCTCATTTTCCCAGTCAAAGCTATTTCTACTGGTCTCTGAACTAACCTTGGATAGCCATCGTCACACCATACCTGTAACAAGTCAGTTGAGCTGAGGCGCAAGTTACGGGTTTTCTACGTTACAGAAAATTAATGTGTAGACTATTCAGAAGTCATAGCTAGTCTTGCTAGTTAGAGAACACTCATTAGTCACACTCAAAGCTTTGATTGCACATTATTCTACGCATCTAATAACGTAATCAGTCTCAAAATTTGCAGAAAATCTACTACATTTGCATTCGGCTAAGCTTATTAAAGCTTACTTAATAAGTAAAGTAAATAAATTTATTTTTTGATTCATTAAATTTAGAAATAAGATTTTATTTTTTATTTATTTTTTTTTTTTTTTTAAGGTAAAAGTTACTTAGCCAAACATGTTAATTGTTGGGGCATATTCTGCTATTACAAACCGTCTGGAATAATGAAAGCTTATGGATGATCTAAAAGTCATACCTCTGAACCCTCATCCTGACTCCATCTTGAATTACAGCTGGGTACTTGAGCTTCCTCAATCTTCTGTTTCTCAAGTAGCTGTGCACCTCTGGCAGCCTTTGCTTCAGCCCCTTTCAAGTACTTCGTGGGGTTGCCTTCAATATCATAATAGCGACCAACCAATTTACCCACAAATCTGTAAGTAACAAGTCAAAGACAAAGCAACAAATTATTTCACTCAAACAATCAAACGTTCGCCACGAAATACATATGGGCAGTGTTTTAGGCTATGCAGCAACAGAAGATTGGAAAATGAAAAAAGGCAGTCCCCGAAAAATTGTCAATTGATTGAAATCTCAAGCAATTTCACAATTAAAATCCCTAGGACTTCATGATCTCCCTCAATTTCAAGAAGAAAAATTTGAGGGGAAAACTCGGCTACAGAAAACATACGCACAAACAATCACGTGAACTTTATTGCACAAAGAGATATTTCAGCAATTCTGATTGTTTAGAAACATTAATAATTCAATTTCTGCGTCTGAAGACTTAGCCCCCATTTGGCCCCCATTATTTCACTTTATAATTTTTCTTTTTTCTATTTTTAACCACACAATCTTTCATAAAATAATATCACACGTAAATCAAAAACTTTTTCTTTTTCAATTACACATTCTCCAAAAAAAACACTATTCCAAAATTATAATACCAAATAATGGGGCCAAACCAGGGATAAAGAATGCATGAACAATTTTATGTCAAATATGCATCTGCACAACCATATTCGGAGCCATCAATTAAAGCTGGAAATAGACATACTCCTGACAAGCATTTGCTTGGATATTTTTTACTTGAAATTTTATTATTTACACCAAGTTGTCAACAAATTCAAGTTATGGAGTGAGTAATACTCACACGTAAGTCCTGAAGTAGAAATCTCGCCATTCAACGATGCTTTTCACCTTAAGATACATAATGTTCAGGCGTGAGAAAAGGAACTAATTCCCCCAAAAAAAAAAAAAAAGGAAGAAGAAGAAGAAGAAGACATAAATTCAAGATACAGCACAACGCATAAACCCATCTTCATCTAACAGTCGGATAAGAACACGGCATTTTGGTGGTGAAGGGGTCATGTGTCCAAGGCACTTGTTTAAATGCGTGCATTGAAAAGATTATGGATTGACCACAACACAGACGTTAAATAAGCAAAGTGCACTAAGGTATTTAGGATTCTTGGTGCTTAAGACCAAAATGACAAAGAACCAGCATGCTTCATCAAAACAAAGCTTGCACTATATTAAATAGAGTTTCTTCATAGGCACAAAATTTTCCAACAAAAATATCGGAGTATTTCCAGGCCATAATAAGATCAAAAGAAATTTCCAAATAAAATCTTTCTACATAACTTGGAATTGATTTTCAACAGCCAAAAAATCAAGGCAATTTAGCAAAATAAAAGAAAGCAATAGTGTGGAAAGAAGATGAAAAAGTTCAATAAGCCTGTCTTTTATCTCAGGTTTGCACTATAATGGGCTGGTCGTGCTTAGATAAGGGACTTTGCTACAAATAGTGCCTCAGATGCGCCACACTGCAATTTGGGCTTTGACAAGTGCCTGGGCAAGCATTTGAAAATATGCACTATAGAGTGGCATCAAAACCTCCCAAAATATGCAAAACAAACTTAGGAAATATTGACTTACATCAGTGCTAGATAAACCACGCAGGGAGTCAGTAAGTCCCTCACCTGTTTATAAATTAATAAAATTTAAGAAACACGGAATGAGTTGATATTGCATCATATGCTATAGTTATCAAAGTAAACAAGGGAAATATTGACTCAGCTAAAACTACCCACCATGCTCCTCCTACATGCTGGGGGAAGGGGGAGGGGATGCTCAAGTTAGCAGGGGACCCTATATCAAAATCAGGAGTCAAAAAACCCTAGGAGTTAATTTTTTTTTTTTTTTACGTAATCTTCCAGCATTTTTTGGCATTGAAATTTAAATTGTTAAATGACGAACATATGAGTAGGAATTACAACATAAAAGTAGGAAAAATTATCACTTATCTCAAAAGGACAACTAGTGTACCAAATAATAGGAATCACAAGTTAATTCCTTCAACCAATGCTTAACGGACAATTGCAAGCATAATATAAGTCAGAAGACTGCATGTTCAGCTTTTACAAGGGCAAATATGCAGTCCGTCCAAAAAAGTGTCATCATAAACCATTCTGAAATTTTTCAAAAAAACTACCCCCAAACTTGCTTGAAAAAGAAATCCCAAAAATGGCCTATTTACATAAAAGATGGTCAGCCTTGTCGCAGAACTAACTCAAAGTCTATCAACGCTCATTACTATCAACAGCTAGAGAATCAGTAGCAGGACCAGAAGGCAATATTTGACTGTTTGGAGTAAAGCAAATGTTCAAGATAGTTTAAGTTGTAATTGAGGAGAATGAAAGCCATAAATTCTGATAACCCTCAAATTTCAGGAACTCAGAATTGGAGTTTGTGAAAGAGCTTGGTGATAAAAAAATAAATATTTCAGGATCGCAGTGATAAATTTATTGTGAGGAGGAAATAGAGGATAATCCTCTCAGGTCAAAATGGAGATAAAACAAAATCATGTATTTTTTATTTTTTTACCGAGTACGGCTCTTGCATCACGAATGGAAGCCAAGCAAACTTGAAGTTCCAGTTTCAGCATGATTTTGACTACACTGTTGCACCCTAACTATGATGGCTTATTACACAACGACTGCAAGTTGCCAAACAAAAGATCTATATGCCCTAACTATGACCAAATTTCAGCATGTAGAAAAATTATGAAATACCACCAATTAAGCAAAAACACATCTAAAAGCTGACAGCCAATATATTAAGACTGCCAAGACATGATTAACTACCATAGAAAATTCTCGATGCAGGACCTATAATTTAGCTCTAGATTTCCAAATTGGACGTTTTTCTCTGACAACATAATGGTTTTTGCATAAGGATAATTATTTAATAAATTAACTCAAATGCATGAGATTGCCCCAAATCTAGTACTCTGTTTCATTGACAGAAATGGGTAAGGATAGGAGAATTCAATATGCATGTTCAAACAAGTAGAATTTAGATAAAGGAGGAGAAGAAGAAATAGGAACAAGATTTAAATTTTATTCTACTTTTTATTTCTTTTTCTTATGCAGGTCTATGCTTCCTTGTCTATCCGTCTTAATTAACTCCATCCCGTGAAACAAAGGATAATTCATTCTTCGGGTGAATAAACAGAGACTATTACAATGGGATATAGAGGTAAACTCCTTATAGCAACCTACTGTTCGATAATCCTATCTCCTCCTCTTGCAGACCCTCAAGGTAGATTCTAAGCATTTATGGGCTTCCTTCCTTTTATAACATGTTATAAACAAGACCCATTAATACTCTATTCATCATATTCTTCCTTTGCCTTTGTAACAAACTGTTCTTTCTTTTCCATCCATTGAATACAAATAACTGCCTCTTTCTTAAAGCTAAACCTAAAAACCCTGCCATACAACACCAATTTCATCTAATAACCACAACTTCACCTTTCTGTACCATGAAAAAGTAGGAAATAAAGTTGCATGGGATACAAATAAGACGGAAAAAGTCTACTCTTGGAGGTGTTATTTAAGAGGGTTCAACTAAAGTAGAATATATACCTGTAAAATTTCCTGAAACAAAAGCGCGGGAAGCATCCCTGAGAAAATCATGGTTTCAATTATTAAAATGCTAGAAGGAGATAATAATCTCACTATTTTCTGTACCTTGACGGCATCATCATATCTTTTCTTACATCAAATGAATATCAGAATCAATGATATTACAAAAATTTTTATCAAATTTATTTCAAGTTCTCAAGTTTATTAATATGTAGAACTGCAGATAAATGTCAACATGCATTTGTAGCCAGTTAAAAGAGATTAAAACAAATGGATTGATATTAATCTCGTACGTAACAAAGTCATGGAGTAAGCACGATCTAACTTGTGTAAATTGAGATAAGTCTTTAACTACTCATTCTAATGCATATATGATGTCCAAATGAATGTCCCCTAGAATGTCTTCAGCATTTTTCTTAATGATTGAGAGCAATTGTTAGCAAGAATTACATATGATAAATGAGTTGTGAAAGTAGAGTTTCTACTCATGTACATTATCTCGTGATCTGTGACTAATTGACTATCGTATATTTTCCCATAAAAATTATAAAGATCGCCATTGTCTTAACATTCAGCACTTGAACAATCTTTAAACAAATGTTGAGGATGCTTTTTAAAAGGACTTGTAGATTCTATGTTGTAAATGTAACATACTTGTTATATTTTGGAAAAAAATTATCTTGCATTGACAGAAAAGTTAGTAGTATTGAAAGAAAAAGGGGCAATTATTTTAGGCTATGTTACAACTATACAATCAACAACAAAAAAAAAAAAAGAAGAAGAAGAATCCTAAAGATATTACATAATTTACAAGAATAAAATCAAGAAGCCAAAATAACTCGTATTAAAGAACACTGCTGATTCTGTGCACATTAAGGTAAAATGGCTGATTTTATTAATTCCAACAAGCCATAATTATGACTCGACTTTCTATGCTCCCCTCAAGTTGGTCGTAAATATCTATTGTAATGCCCCAAAAATTTTGTAGAATAAAATTATTTATTCTATCTGCTATATTTTTTTAACTTTAGAAAGTTGATGGACTAAGGTAAACTAATTTTAAATCAAATATTATTTTGGGTCAAATAATTAATTATTGATAGTGTGATAATTAGTACACCAATATTGGATGTACCCTGTAATTAATTAGAAGTCTTCGACTCGAGAAGTAGTTATTTTGGATAAGTTAAACCCAAGTTATTGAAGTTGAAAATTTTTGTTAATTATTATTTAAGTTTCTAATTCAACCATGTGTAGTAATTTGTTTTGATTTTGATAAATTCAAATAGTGATTCTACATTCAAAACCTATTCTTATTAAAATTCTTTGTCTTACACGTTTCCATTGACACCAACTCTCTATAAATTATATCATTTATTGCCTACATATATATAAGACATGATGGAGGAAGGTTTACACTCAAGAATATGTATGCACATACACGGCACAAAAGCATAGATAGAAAATAAAGTTTAGAACATGATTTTGGATTTTGCCTTTCAAAAACTAATTTGATCAAAATAAGGTAGAATAACGAGGTGCAAGTGATTTGGTCCCGTTTAATTTTATTTCTTCATGCCGATAAATGTTATGCTAATAAAAATTATGATATGATATGATCATCCGGTACTAAAAATATGATATACGAGTTTTTACCGGTTATTAAACATATGACATAACAGTATGATTATTTTAATGCATGATGATACTTTATTCGGGATTGCACAACACTTGTGCTGCCCTACTGAGCATTCCCATATGCTCATCATCTTCCCTACCTCAGGTTAGAACGGGTCGTTGGTTGGCGGCAATGAGGTGCTCTCGTTGTGCTAGGATTCATTGAACTTAATAAATCAAATTCGGTGGAACGTGACTGAAGATATTAAATTTCAGCAGTAAACTTGGTTTTATCAATTTATTGATCTCTTTTCTTTTATTTGATTGTGGAACATGTTTTGCTTAAGAGCTACATTGGTTGCTATGTTAAATTGGTGAAATCAATATGTTATGATACACACACACACACACACACATATATATATATAGAGTCAGTCATGTATAATAAAATGAGATATGCATGAATTCATCCAAGGAATTAGATATTACTGGAGATATGAGAGTATAGAACTGAACTAATTTTGAAAAGACGCACCACATATCTTGTGTACATGTACTTGATGAAAAAAAAAAAAAAAAAGGAAAACTAAAATTTGCACTTAACTTTAAACGGTGTTGTTGAATTATTTAATTATTCATTGAATTGGATTTCGTGATAATAATGTTTCATAACCTATTTTTACTAATTATGCTTTATAAAAAAATTTTAAAAAAAAAATGCTATTGGTTACTGCTTGTGTATACTTGAATTGAATAAAATCAAATAGTAATTAAGAATTATGTCCCTAATTATTAAATTGTAAATTGATCTTAGTTAATCTTTCCAAACATATACAATAAAGATATGGGGGTAGGAAAATCTTCCTTCTTTCCTTTTTATGAATGAATATATAAAAATTTTCTACCTGAATTTGAGAAAATTACCGTTAGATAATTTTGCCCTTGTTTGAGTCCCATTTTTCCACCAAAATACATTTTTCAACAGTGATTTGATACCATTTCAACCACACATTCTTCAATAAAATAATATTATACGCAAATCAAAAAAAATTTCTTATTTTTTAACCACACATTTCTGATTAATACACTATTCAAAAATTCATTTTCTCCGCTAAAATGGGGCTCAAACAAGGGCTTTATATATATTGCATGGCTCAAATGAAACTTTTGATAACGATTTGATTTTAAAATTTTGGGTGGTTGCATCCATCATTCCCAACTTGGTAATCTCTTCTTGAGACTGTAATCTCAGAGTTGTTTCATGAAATTAAATAGGACATAAAAATAAGTCCACTTTTGTGCGTGATGTCATATTATAGTTTCATTCAAGTTATATCCGGGAACTTACTTTTTCACTTAATAAGCAATTTTACTTAAAAAGGTTAATTTTTTAAACTAAGCTTAACATGCTGTATTGAGAATATCCAAACAAACATGTAGGGAAAGGAGAACGGACCTTCCCGCAAAATGGTTGTAACCTCCTCCGGCACCGTAATGGCTTTTGCCTTTAGTTACATCAAACACTGACCTGATAGAAAAACGAAAATTATTAAAAAAGAAGCTTTTAGAACCATCCAGAAGAAAATACATGTGAATAATTATAAAAATCTAAGAGCAATACCCAAGAATGCCGAGAAGAATGGGCAATTGAGGGTCAGTGCCATTGTATGGAGCTAATTCTTCCGCAGTGAAAAGTTTCTGAAAGAAGACACAGGTTAGGAATAGGATCCAATAGATTATAATACGGTAAAGATGATAAATATAGAAATGGATACAAATCATTACCCCTTGAGGTTGATTGTGGGGAGAATTGAAAGGAAAAATTCTGAAGAGGAAGAATGAGAGAAGAGCTAAGCAAATTGGGATCCAAAAGAAAGGAGACCAACGCATCTTTTTCGCTTTCCCCAACTCTGAGTCTGATGACCGATCCAAATACGGTTGAAACAAACCTCAACTCGAGACCAAACCTCAAATCGAGTTCAAGCTTTTATGGTAAAAATACAAAGTGAAAATTACACAATCACATATTTTTAAAGACGACAATTAGAAAAACAGAATTAATTTTCTAAATGAAAAATCCATTAAAGTTGACTGGTAAATGACATTTGTATCCTTATAGTTTTATAAATTATTATCATTATATCCCTGATTCTTTCCTATAAATATAAGGCTTTGATTTTTAATAATACAGACAAAAAATTTATTGAGTTTTCTCTATTCTTTTTGAGTTTTCTTTATTCTTTTTTCCTCTCATTTTATAACACGTTATCAGTACGAAATTCTTAGAAGGTAGTAATTTTTTTTTTATTATCATTTATCACGTATATCAAAATTAATTTGATAATACGTGAATTTTACATATACATATGTTGAATCTGCAATACGTGATCTCATCTTTTTCAATCATTATGTTTCCTTTGTACCTCTCTTTGAATTAATTAATATTTTTTTCTTTACATCAATCCACGTGTATTTTTATGGAGATATATTTATGTTAAATCAATTGATATGAATTAATTCATGTTCCTATACCATCCTTATATTTAGATTAGCCCTTTACGTTCTACACATATTTATAATTTTTTTTTGTTTAATTGGTCAATATTCTTTGTAAGCAAGTTTCAATTCTAGATCTCTATTTTGGCTGATTCCAAATATATATAATATACAAGAAACAAATAACTGTACTCAACTCATATTTTCTCCCAAATTCATTGGTTTCTGCAAATTTCATGCCTTAATTGGTTAATACTAATTCAATTCTTTTAATTGCACATAATTAAAATTTCGTGCTATAATATGTGGATAGATTTCTACATGTCACCAATTTTTTTTTTTTTTTTGTGTTTCACTCGACTCACGTTATTAATTCAAAATAATATTTTACATGTATTTGTATATTAATTAATGGTGAGCAATTGAATGTATTATCATTTTTTATGTTTAGTTATGAAACTTTACATTAAATTTATTTTTAATTGTTACTGCTCCTGAAGTAGCACAATATTATAATTAATATTCCAGAAGAATATTAATCAAAGATCTATTCGTTGTTGTTCCAGAAGTAGCACAATATTATAAAAATATTATTTGCTCCTGAAGTGCATAAATTATAACTCTCAATAGTCTAGAAGAATATTGACATATTACACTTGAAGAAATAATAGTAAAATATAATGTGCTCCAGAAGTAGCATATGTTTCGAAAAACATATTATTTCAAATTAATGTTTATCTCTAGAGGAAAACACGTAACTTAAAGTCATGTTGATATTGACTATTTGATTAACATAGGATGATTAATCATATTCTTCGAAACTAATTGTATTTTTTTGTGTAGTTAAACAAATGGCAAACATTACGAAACTTGAGTTTGCTGCACTTGACATATCTGGTAAAAATTATCTGTCATGGATATTGAATGCTGATATCCATCTCGTCTCAAAGGGTCTGGGAGAGACAATAAAAGAAGGAAACAATGAATCCCTACAGGATCGTGCGAAAGCACTCATTTTCCTCCGTCACCATCTTCACGATGGATTAAAAATTGAATATCTCACTGAAAAAGATCGACAAGTTCTTTGGAAAAAGATAACTGAAAGATTTGATCATCAGAGGACTATAGTCCTCCCCAAAACCCGTTATGAGTGGATGCACCTTCGTTTGCAAGACTTTAAAACAGTTAGTGAGTACAATTCTGAATTGTTCAGAATATGTTCAAAGTTGACTTTGTGTGGAGAAAAAATCACCGATGAAGATATGCTGGAAAAAACTTTCTCCACCTTTCATGTCTCGAATGTGCTCCTGCAGCAGCAATATCGTGAGCGTGGCTTCAAAAAGTACTCAGAACTTATATCTTGCCTACTAGTTGTTGAACAAAATAATGAATTGTTGATGAAAAATCATGGATTACGTCCAACTGGTTCTGTACCATTGCTTGAAGCAAATGGTACTACAATGTCTGAAGCAAATACAATATCAAGACAATGATGTGGACGTGGACGTGGACACGGACACGGACGTGGACGTGGAATAAATTATGAAAGAAATAATCAACAAAGTTATCAACAACAGGACAATAAATTCAAAAGGCACAAAACAAACGAGAGTGACAAATCTAAAAAGGAGCATGAAGAAAGTTGCTTCAGATGTGGAACGAAAGGCCATTTGGCATGTACGTGTCGTACGTCAAAACATCTTGTGAATCTCTACCAGAGATCAATCAAGGGAAAAGAAAAATTGGAGACTAATTTTGCTGATTATGATGGTCCAATTGATGTGACTCATTTGGATGTCTCCGATTTCTTTACTAATTGGGGGTGGTGTGATAGAAGATATAGATTAATTTACTAGTATTTCTTTCGTTTTAAAAATTCAGTTTGAAATATGTTTTTCCTTTTCCGCACAAAAAAATAAAAAATAAAACTCTATTATGCACAATTTATTTCATGATATTAAGTAATGTTTACTTCTTTAAATCTAAATTCAAGTTTTTTTTTTTAAATTTTGTTTATTTTGTTATATTTATAGATTCATGATGGATAGTCAAGACAGTTGCTTAATTGATAGTGCAACTACACATACTATTTTTCGAGACAAAAAATACTTTTTGGACTTAATATTAGCTGAAAATAATGTTAACACGATATCGGGTGCGTCAAATATCGTTGAAAGCTCCGGAAGAGCTTGTATTATTTTACCAAATAATACAAAATTATATATTGACGATACACTTTATTCTAATAAATTCAGAAGAAATTTGCTTAGTTTTAAAGATATTCGCTACAATGAATATCACATTGAGACGATGCAAGAAAATAATGTTGAATATTTTTGCATCACTTCTTTTATATTTGGCAAGAAGCAGATAAAAGAAAATTTTCATGCACTTCCGTCTGGCATGTATTTTACATTTATAAAAATGGTCGAATCAAATAATATTACGAACCAGAAGTTCGTTGATTCAAAAAGTTTTATACTTTCGCATGATCGACTTGGACATCCAGGAGCCATAATGATGTGTCGAATAATAAACAACTCACATGGACATCCTTTAAAGAACCAGAAGATTCTTTTATCTAATGATTATCCATGTGTAGCTTGTTCGCAAGACAAGTTAGTCATTAGACCTTCAACTACAAAGGTCAATATTGAATCTCCAACTTTCTTGAAAAGAATACATGGAGATGTGTGTGGGCCAATACACGTACCATGTGAACCATTTCGTTACTTTATGGTATTAATTGATTCTTCTACAAGATGGTTACATGTTTGCCTACTTTCAACTAAGAATGTAGTATTTGCTAGACTACTTGCTCAAATCATAAAATTGCGATCACAATTTTTCGATTACTCAATCAAGACTATTCGTCTTCACAACGCTGGTGAATTTAGATCACAAGCATTTGATGATTATTGTATGTCAATTGGAATTGAAATTGAACATTCAGTTCCACATGTTCATACACAAAATGGTTTAGCGGAATCGTTTATTAAACATCTACAACTTATTATTAAACCATTACTTATGAAAACAAAACTCTCAACTTCTGTTTGGGGTCAGGCCATATTACATACTGCATCATTGGTTCGTATAAGACCAACTGCCTATCATCAATATTCACCTTTGCAACTTGCATTTGGTCATGAACCTGATATTTCTCACCTACGGGCTTTTGGTTTTGCTGTCCAAGTTCCTATTTCACCCCCACAACATACTAAAATGGGTCCCCAACGAAAACTTGGGATTTATGTGGGTTTTGATTCACCATCTATTATTAGATATCTTGAACCTTTAATGGGTGACTTATTTACTATACGTTTTGCAGATTGTCATTTTGATGAAATGACTTTCCTAACTTTGGGAGGAGAAAAACTACATCCTGAAAAACAAGATAGAATTTCTTAGAATAAGACAACTCTATCTCACTTTGATCCCTGCAGCATTCAATGTGAACAAGAGGTTGAAAAAATCATTCATTTACAAAGAGTTGTAATTCAATTACCTAATGTATTTGTTGACACGAGAAAAGTGACAAAGTCATATATTCCAACAGAAAATATTCCAGCAAAAATTAATGTCCCTGCAGAACAATCTGCTGTGGCAAATGAATCTCAAATACGCAAGAAGCGTGGTCGACCGTTCAAAAGACTCTGTACCTCAAAAAAGAAGAGTACATGAGAAAAACCAACCAAAAATTTCAGAAGAAATCACATTAGAAAAGATGGATCAATCAAATATTGAATGTACAATTCCTGAAGAACCAGAGGTGTTCGAAAATAATGAGATCTTAATAAATTATATGATATCTCATAAATTATGGGAATGGAATAATATTGTTTTAGACAATATTTTCACCTTTAACATGGCTCTTGATATTATGCAAAATGAGGATCCTGAACCACTGTCTGTTAATGACTGTCGAAATAGAAATGATTGGTCAAAATGGAAAGAAGCCATACAGGCAGAATTGAATTCTTTGGAGAAACGAAAAGTGTTTGGACTAGTAGTTCGAACACCTGAAAATGTAATCCCTGTTGGATACAAATGGGTTTTTGTACGAAAGAGAAATGAGAATAATGAAATTACAAGATACAAAACCCGACTAGTGGCTCAAGGTTTCTCCCAAAGACCGAAAATTGATTATGAGGAAACATATTCTCCCGTAATGGATACTATCACTTTTAAATTCTTAATTAGTTTGACCGTGTTACAAGGGCTCGATATGCACCTTATGGATGTAGTAACTGCCTACCTATATGGTTCACTTGACAGTGACATATATATGAAAGTCCCTGAAGGATTTAAGGTGTCAGGAATAAATGATACATGTCCAAGAACTATGTTCTCAATTAAATTGCAAAAACCATTATATGGATTGAAACAATCCGGACGCATGTGATATAATCACCTTAGCGAATATTTGTTGAAAAAGGGTTATAAAAATGACGATATCTGTCCATGTGTTTTCATAAAAAAAACAAATATTGGATTTGCAATTGTGGCAGTTTATGTTGATGATTTAAATTTAATTGGAACTCCTGAAGAGCTCA